TTTAAAAAAAAAAAAACAACAAAAAAACAAAACATAAAAAAACCTTACAGCTTCTGTGTAGCCCTCTTGGAACTTTTTCTCTTTGAGTCCCGACCTCTCAATTATCTAAGGACTAGAGTCATCTCAAGAATGTTGTGCTAGTGAGGTCATGTGCATTTACTCTGGTCAACCACTCCAGAGGAGCCCAGCTTCTAGCCACGTCCACCAAAGTATCAGACATATGAGTAAAACCATCCTGGACCCTGTGACCAGCACATCTGCCAGCTATAATTTATGAAGTGACCTCCAGAGATACCACATGAAACACGAAGAATCATCCAGCCAAGACCTGCCTATGTTGCTGATCTCACAAAATCATGAAATGTAATAGAACAGTTATTTTAAGTCGCACATAACTCTGAACATCAAGGTATATGTGAGTGAAGATTAGAAATTGTCAAGTAGCACATATCCATTTTATAATGGAAGGGAAAAAATCCTATTTGTGTTAGCTATTTTCTGCTGGCAGTAATCCCTAGAATTAAAACTACTCCACTATGCCAGTAACTCTAAAATATTCAGAATTTAGTTTGTTGGAATATACTGCTATAATTAGGTTCTTTCCATATTGGTAAAATAACTGATTGTAGCAAAGCTTCATTTAACTTATCTGGGCCCATGATACAGAAGCTCTCAGCTTAAAAAAAAAAAGAAAAAGAAAAAAAAAGCGCTCAGCTTATTAGAGATAGTTCATTCTTTCTGAGTCAATTCATATTTCATATCCTTATCCTGATTCTTCCTCTCTTGCTGGGTCTACGGTGAGTTACACCTTATTCCTCTTTTACTATTTCAACCAAAGCCCTGAAGTATCTTTATTCGCATATCTTAATTTGGAATATGAAATGTTTTTATTGCTCTCTTTTTATTCTCTTTGAGCAAAAGCCACAATTTTCTCCAATTCGTCCCACAAACCAATAGCTTAACTGAGTTGCTACTTTCTCACATTACCATGGGCTGAGAAAAATGAGGATACTCTTGTTAAAGAGTCCAAGATCCCCAGTGAATCAGAACTCAATGAAAAATCTTGTTTTTAAGTGCTCTAAGTATCTACTTTAACATCAGATTTTAATCTTCCAGCCTTTCATTTTGCCAAAGGCCTCTTGTTGTATATGGCAAGTTCTCAAAATGAAACGTTCTACCTTAATAATCACAAAAGGTGAGAATTACAAGATTAAGTTTAGAATTACATGGTGTATCTATATAGATGTAGATAAATGGCTTTTAAAAAGCAAATTTAAAACGTACACAATTACCACTTACACAGAAACATTAAAAAAGCAAGCTGATTAAGATCTAACATAACAGAAAAACTGCTCTATTCGCCTCCATACATTTCTTACCTACTATTTGTAAAAGAAATTTCATTTTAAAAATACCTGGAGTATATGGACATGGGAGGTGGTATGTGCTATGGTGAATGCTGTGAAACATGTAAGCCTATTGATACACAGACCTGTACCCCTGGGGCAAATAACACATCATATGTTAATAAAAATAATTTTAAAAAATACCTGGAGTACACATTTAACAAAAATATTCCCTAAGAACCTCCTTTTTTCAAATCGTATCTTTCACTGTGCCTCCTCCAATGCCAGCTATTATCTCTCTGTGTAATTCTCCAAAAAACATTAATTTTAACACCTTTAAGTAAGTGTGGAAGGCAGCCTCCAAGATGGCCCTCAATGATTTCTACCTCCTGTATTTGCACCCTCTTGCTATGTACCAGGACAAAAAACATGGACTATCTCTTCTAAGACTGGGTTATAAAAGGTTGTGGCTTCCAGCTTAGGCTCTCCCTCTCTCCTATCACTCATTCTGGGGGAAGGCAGCTACCATGCTGAGAACACTTAAGCCATGTAGAGAGGCCCACATGGCAAGAAATGAGACTTCCCGCCAACAGCCATGTGAGTGAGCCTTTTTGAAAATGGACCCTCCAGCCCCAGGCAAGACTTCAGCTGATACAGCCCCAGCCAACAGTTTGATTCAAACAACTTTGTGCGATACCCTGAGTCAGACGTCCTACTGAGCCTACACAAGATTCCTGATCCTCAGAAACTGTGAGATAGAACACATCTGTTTTAAGCTACCATGTTTTAGGGTAATTTGTCATATAGCAATGTATAACTAATATAATGAGCATTGCTTATTCTTCAAAATCCAAACTTGTATGTCTCAAAAGTTAAAAAAAATTATAAATAGAAATAGTAATTGCAAAAATTGGGAGAAAATTTTGTTTTTAAAATCTTTCTAAAATTGAAAGACCACTGTAATGTCAGTTTGCCAGTCCTACTTATAAAAAAAATGAACCAACAAAGTACTATCAGGAAACTATGGACTGTTTCTGGAAAAACAAAGATCAGGTTCAGGAGGTACATTCAGAAGGCAGCATCAACTTTTTTAAAAGTGGGAAGGAAATCATTTTGTAATTTAAAAATCACAATATCCTATTTAACTTCGATAAGACATCCCACAAAGCTTGCCTTATCTCTTTAGAATCATGTAAAGCTTTATCTTGTCACAGACCATATCACATGCCTACTGATAAACACATAAGAAAGATAAGGACAAATGTACCAAATCTCAACAACAGATTTCACAGGCATATCAAAGCATAGATGATTTTTTCCTGTAATGTTTCCACACCAAATCCAAAACACTGCTTTCACTCATACAAGCACACTCTCCGAGAACACATAAGATTTCCTATAATACGAAAGTCATTTTAACATAATTTATTTAATCAGAAAATGCATTTAGAACACATACATTTAGTACACGAGTGGAGTCGGGTATTTAAAAACATCTAAAAAATAACAATAAAAGAAAAACGTGGGAGTTTTTCATTTGATTGGGGGGGGTGATTTCAGTGATCTCCACAGGAACTCTACGTATTGATATTGAACACGATAAGGAACAGCAGCATCAACAAGTATCAGTTGAGTCAACAAGCAATAATTTAGTTATCAATACCAGCAAAAACAGTTTATTTAAACTTCAAAGTTCTTTAGCTTATGAATAGGAGATAAGCATTTAACTACGACATTGGTTTCCTCTATTTTTGCCAGCTTATCTTGAACAAAGAAGACAAATTACTAACTTCACCTCATATAACTTACATACTTAATAAGTTTATTGGCGATAACTGATCTCCACTGACTGAAGTTTATAGGCCTTTAAAACGATGTTAAATTTAAAATTCTCTTCATTGGAAAATGCAGCAATGCTACTGCCTGTGCTAAAACAATAAGGTATGAGGTAAAATTTATCCAATTGTATCACAGGATGTGCTTTTCAAGAATCGTCATAAAATTATATCATTAGGGCCCTGCAAACTTGTAATGATGTTAATGCAGAAGAATTCCCAAGAAATTAGTTAGATAAGGCCCAATGTATATTCAAATAGTGTTGTCCATGGAGAAAACATTTCTAAAATCAATGTTACAGCATATATGACTGGTTATATTGTTTTCCCAGGAGCTTATTTTCAGAACTCAGTTTTTTAAAACCGCACAATGAGTATAAACATACCTTACAAATATGCTAGTATTCAATTACTGCTTCATATAATGGCATGATTACACCCTTAAAAACTGAACTGATTATGATGTTACATTTTTCCCTTAAAGCATTGTACACAGACAATATCTGGAATATCCCGTACTGTAAATTGGTCCACAATTCCCTGAATGTAGAAAAAAAAACCAGTTCAAAGGCATAACTAAGAAAAAGTTTCCGAAGAAGCAGTATAGTAGGTAAGTCATGCTTATGTGACCTTCCTTCATTCCTGTACATCCGCCAAAGAAACACTTTCAAGTGCCCCTGACAAATCAAATGCCATGTTCCAATCAGTGTTCTCTAAACTTAGGAATGTATGGGATGTTTATGTACCTATCAACTTTGGGGAGGGAGGTAAACTTTTTTTTAAAATGTCAAATACATCAGAATGTAACATAAATGTATTTTGTCTGTATTATGTATTTCGCCTGTACCGCTGTATTTAAACTGCAAAAATATTTTAAGGTGGCTTACTCCTTTCATCCTTTTGATTTTCTGAATTCTTAGCTTTTTCACCTGCACTCAAATTCAGACCTACAGCATTCTGCACTGGCTTTAAAAATATCCTATTTTAACATGTTAGCTTAAAAATAGCCTTGCTTTCTCCCTTCCACATTACTTTAAAGCAGAAGTCTGCTTTTCATTGTTGAGCCTGATTCCCAGAAAAATACCTTCTTATTTACTTCATTCTTTCAACCTCTGGGGAAACAACAAAAACTGGAGTTTAACTTGTGCAGCGCCGAACCTACAGGGGCTTGCTTGCAAGTTATGTATCTGCAGTTGCTGGTTTGATCCATTCTTTCCATTTCCCAGGAAAATGTTTCCTTCGGCTGCTTAGTTTCATACAACTAGATGTGTGTGCAAACACAGCTGAGAGCATCTCTGCCTTAGAAGCAATACCTTCTTTTGACACGCATACACCTCGGTTTGATAACCTTTCAAGAAAGTTTCTTCCTGCCCTCGGGTTTGCAGCACTTCTCAAGCGGGCATGGCATGCCACCTGCGTGGCTACACGTTCACAAGAAAGCAGCAAGGGCCTGGGGGACAGGAGGGCTGGGGAGGGGAGGCACACAACAAATCAAAGCACAACCAAAACAGTATCGGTGCACGATCTGGGCTGAAGCTCGTCTTCAGAGACTGGGAAGGAACCAGCCAAGCGTCGGTCGGGGCTGCCAAGGCACGATCCGCGCCTGTCCTACCTGCCCTAGGGGCACACAGGAGGCGGAAAGTCTCCCCCCGCCCCACCAACTCCCGCCCCCAGGCCCGGACATCCCAGGCTCAAGGCCGGATGGGCGATGGGAGCTGGGGGTAGGGGTCCCGGGCCGAGGGGCCGAGGACTCCCAGGGCGCCGACGGGGGGGTGGGGACGCCAGGCCCCCAGGCTCGCCCCTCACACGACCCCCTTACCTTGCGCGATGGCAATGGACTCGAAGCGGTGCAACTCCTTGAGCAGGCAGCTCCTCTCCGTGGAGTGCAGGCTGTAGATGAAGTCGCGCGCGCCCTGCGCCGTGTTCAGCGCCTCTATGGGCTCCTTCTTGGGGTGGGTGCCCAGCCCTCGCGAGGCGCCGGGGGCCGCGAGCGCCAGCAGCCCCCGCCCGCAGCAGCACCAGGACGGCGGGCGGGGCGCGGCGGCGGCGGCGGCGGCCGGGCCCGGCCTCAGGCTGCGTGCGGTCCGGCTCCTCAGCAGCGGCAGCAGCCGGGACATGGCGGGCTGAGGAGCGGGGACCCCCGCGGCAGTCCGGGAGGGCGATTTCTGGCGAGGCAGGGGGAAGAAGGAGCTAGGCTCGGCCGGACCCCGCCCCGATGTCCTCCTGACTGGCAGCTGAGGCGCCGGGCACCATGCACTCCCCGGGCCCGCGCGGAGATCGCCTCCTTTTCGGTCCCCCTGCCCTTCCGAAAGGCCCGCGGCGGCGTCGGTCCCTCGGACGAGAGAAACTTTCTGTGAGGCGGCCGGGCCGGGAGAGGGCGGGCAGGCGGTGCGGGCGGGCGCCTCCCGGCTGAGGAGGGGCGGCGCGGGCGGGCGGGTTTGGCTAGGGTTTGTCTCTGTCAGTTTGATCTTCCAGAGGGATGAGTCAGCCACGCGCCGCCTTCCTTCGGCGCCTCCCTCCGCTCCTGCCGGCTTTCCCACCCTCCTGCCTGCCCTCGTCGGCGTTAGGTAGGGCTCCCGCGCCCTCAAAGCCGCCGCGCTCCCAGGCCGCAGGCGCCGCCGCTACCCCTAGCGGCCGTACAGGGGCTAACAGGGCGGGGCGAAGGGATGGGGCGGGGCCGCGCAAGCGCAGTCCCCGCCGCCCCGGGCGGCCCTCCCACCGGAGTTAGGAGGGTGCACAGGAGTCCCCACCCCTCCAGTGCGTGATGGTGGAGGAACGGATAGCGCGCATCCCCCTTAAGTGCTGGCGCCACCTTTAAGTCCGACGCAGGGAACGGGGAAAAACAGCTCTGGACTTCTTGCTTGGTCGTAGTCCGCTCCGCCCTAGCACCAGGACTAAACCTGGAGCGTGTTCTAAACAGTGTCCCAGCGCAAGGTCCCCCCATCGCCCGGCACGGGCCTCGCGGCCGCTCGAAACCTCCCTGAGGGCCCCGTCCTGCTCGGACTTCTGGGGACTGAAGCGCCTACCGTGGCCTCGGCCAGGCACTCGGGTCTTTGAGGCAGCCGCTCTGGGAGCTCCAGAGCGAGGGCGAGGCCAGGAGTTTGAGACTGAGGCCTAGAAACCGAAAATACCCTTCCTCGTCCTGATGCCAGCAGCTTGCAGTCCGTTAATGCTGGAGCGGGAGGCAAGAATGTCACCTTCTCCGGGTGTTTGCCGAGGTTTGTTTTCGTTTGTTTTGTTTTTATTTTTTTCTCTTTGCCAGGGCGAAAATAATTTTGTGATTCTACACTTCCCACGTGTCCGGGTCCTAAACCTTTTTCAGGGCCACGCTCGAACGGTCTCCCACTCCATCCTTTCCTTTATCTCCTCCTAAGGAAAGAGATCTCCCCTTTATCTGAATCTAATGACACTTAGGCTTCCTGCCTTAGAGAGCAGATCCACTTAGTAAATCTGCTCAAGTGCAATCAAGATCTAAATCTTACCCTTATCTTATCCGCTGCCACACCAGCCCAAGACCTCGTATGTAGTAAATGTGCTATAATTATGTAAGGGCAATATATAAATGTGAGTCTGGGGAGGAATGTAACCACTAAATCATTCTGTTGCTCTAACTCAGCGGTTCTCAGAGTGTGGTTCGTGGACAGCAGAGTTTGTTAAGCGTGCAAATTGGCGTACTCGGCTCTAGACCCCTTAAATCAGAAACTGGGGTTTGGGCCCAGTCATCTGCTGTTTGTTTGTTTGTTTTAATTTTTATTTATTTATTTTTTAAAGATTTTATTTATTTATTTGACAGAGAGAGAGAGCACAAGTAGGCAGAGGAAGAGGGAGAAGCAGGCTCTCCACTGAGCAGGGAGCCCAATGTGGGGCTCGATCTCAGGACTCTGGGATCATGACCTGAGTGGAGGGCAGCCGCTTAACCAATTGAGCCACCCAGGTGCCCCCATCTGTGTTTTAACAAGTCCTCCAGTTAATACAGATGCGCACAAAAGTTTGAGAACCACTGTTCTAACTTAAACATAAAAAGCATTTTAAAAAAATTTTTCAAGGCAGCCTCTCTAGTGTAATAATGACAGTTAAGAATGTCTTCTGTGAGGGGTGACTGGCTGGCTCAGTTGAGAGGAGCATGTGACTCCTGATCTTGGGGTGGTGAGTTGGAGTCCCACCTTGGGTGTAGAGATTACTTAAAAAAAAAAAAGAAAAAATGTGCTTGGTGGAAAATGAAGTTGGGTGTAAAGACGTGTGTCTTTCTTATTTTTGAAACCCTCTGCATTCCCACTGTGTGTTGGAATCCTCTGTAGAGTTATTTCAGTCTCAAATTCTTGGGATTACTACCAACTTCTCTCCTATATCTCTTACCCACAAGGGATTCTGACTCACTGGTCTTGGGGCAGGACCTGGGAAGTGAGGTTTGGAAAAGCTACTCAGTAAGAACCCATTCCTGACAGTCTTTAGGACACCAGTTTTGTGGGTGGGCTCCAGAAACAGATGGCTGAAAGTTTGACAACTGACTCAACTATCTTCTAAGTGTATTAGTGGTAGATTATTAGGACAGTGGTCCCAGTGAATCACGGCTTATGGTATCCAGTCCTTTGTGTAGACCTGTCCCATGTTGACTGTGGGCTTGGCCATGTGACCTCCTTTAGCAGGTAAGTGGAACATCACAAACCTAATCTAAGTGCTTGCTCGTTGGGACTTGTTGTAATGTGTTTGTTGGGTGATTTATTATTATTCAAGTCTGCTGTAGAAAATAAGAATCTAAAATGTAGACATAATTTGCTTATGAGACATTACACCTAGGATAAATGGATACGTGTTGATCATAGATAAAAAGGGTAGAACAAATGAAATTGCTACTTTAGATAGAAAGAAAGAGATAGACCAGGAACTTTAAATATTAATAAGGTAGAGATTATACTACCTCCAGACTGACAACTTTGTCATCCCTACATTGGCCACCTACCAGTGACATGCATTATAGTCCCGTGGTGGCCTCATGTAATCTGTATAAGAAAAGCAGATAAACCCCTAGCTACTCAGCTAACGAATGGCCAGTTACAGTTATGCAGACACACTTCTCCTTCATCTCTCTGGCAGAACAGATATATGTTGGTTTCAGGCCCTCCTCTCTTAACTTTCCTCTGTGGTCCTTAAACCCACACCACCTACAGGGAAGACTGGCACAGCAGGGAGGTTAAGACATACGAACACTGGGTAGAATAAAATTCAGATACTGTGGTCTTCCACCTTGCTATCCTAAGTATCTCTCCATTTCTTTCCCCTCAGTTAAAGGCAGCTCTTTGTGAGAGTCTAAGATGTCGGTCCGATGTCAACTAACGGCAACAGCTGGCCGGTTGCCCAGGGTGGCACATTCATGTGGCTGAGGACTGATGCTGGCTATTGGCCGGCCGCGTGCTCAGCTGGGACTGTGAACCAGTGCACCTTCATTCAGCCCCTCCAGCAAGGCAGAACTTCTCCCATGGTAGCTGGCTTCCCTCAAAGTGCATGTCTGAAAAGAACTAGGCCCGTGGCCTTTACTGACGTATCCTAAGAAGTCATGCAGAGGGGCACTTGGGTGGTGTAGTCGGTTAAGCATCCATCTCTTTGTTTCAGCTCAGGTCTGATCTCAGTGTAGTGAGATCATGCCCTGCGGCAGGCTCCACACTTGGTGGGGAGTCTGCTTGAGTGTCTCTCTCCCTCTGCCCCGCCCCCTTCATTCACACACTCTCTCTCTCTCTCAAATAGATAAATCTTTAAAAAAAAAAAAAAAAAAAAAAAAAAGTCATGTAGCATTACTGCAACCTTACCAGCTACCAGCAAGCTACTAAGGCCAGCCACGATTCAAGAGAAGTCAGTGGGAGCAATGCCAGAGAATTTGGGAACATGTTCTAAAGCTGCCACATAAACAATGTGATTCAGGTGTGTTCATTTGGTTTATAAGTCCATCTGTCCTGTGATCTATGGGACAATCTGTGTGGTGGTGAACTTGGAGCCTGCCATTGCATTAAGGTAATTCTCCACAGGACATTTGCCCTTTGGAATTCAGCTGCCATACATAGAACTCTGGAGTATCCCTCTGGAAAGACCACATGGAAGAGGAGACAACAGCCAATAACCCCAGCTGACTACCAGGCACATGTAATGAGGCCATCTTGGACCATCCAGTCCCAATCAAGATCCAGACGACAGCCTTGCAAAGAGGTTAAGTCATTAGCTCTGGAGCCAGACATCCTGGGTTTGGGTCCTCACTCCTCCATTTACTAGCTCTATGACCTTGAGCTAATAACGCAACCTTTCATGGACGCCTCATCTGATGGGATAAAGGCATGTTGTTAAATTTGCTCATCTGTTCAATGGAGATAAGATACCTGCTTTATAGGGCTATATTGAGACTAAATGAGTTAGTACATAAAAGCATTTCAAACAATACCTGGAACGTGGTGAGTACTCAATAAATGCTAGCTCTCATTATCCATATTCCTGTGAACCTCTCAGACCTCTAGGATTTTGTCTTTGGACCCTAATTGGAGGACTATCTACCTAGCTATCTGGCGCTTAATACACATTTAATATGTACTAATTGGATCCCCTATCCACTCCCTTTCTCTGAACATTTGAGTATCCTAAATCTGAGTAAATGGCGGAGACGGGGAGAGGGGAGGGTGCAGGGTCTGTCTGTGGAGCTATGGAGAAATACAGAGTAAGGCAGGTGCATGTGTGTGGCACGAGGAAGGTCCTGAGGAAATTGTGAGGGTGCCGAAGTGATAGTGCCAGCAGGTTGGAGAAGGTTACAGAAGAGGAAGAGCAGGAGGGCCTGGACTCAGCCTAGCCCATCCTTCACTTTTAAAGATGACAGACCTCATGTCTCAGTTAACAATCACCGTCTCCTCCTCATGAAAAGTTGCTGCTGAATCAACAGTCCATAGTACCTTGCATCATGCAAATACCTTCCAGGGTTGCTGGCATCTGTGTTGCTGGCAGTGCACAAGGCTGTTTGCTGAGTGCATGTTCTGATAGATTATTCACCCACTTATTCTGTCCATTTTTAAATTCCCGAGTTGTTGATTTACTTAGTGGGACCTTTAATCATTTATTCTGCCCACAGTTTTATAGTTCCCTTTTGGCACTTCTCATCCCTTGGGTTTCTGCCTTAGGATCCTGACCCCTGGAACTCCCCAGCACCATCAGAGTTATGGTACATGGATTGCTGCTTCCCAGTGAAAAGCACAAAAGCTGGTTAGGAAAATTAAAGAAGACTTAAATAAATGGAGAAAAATACCAATTAAAGTTTGGAAAACGCAATAGTATACAATGTCTCCCTGAATTAATCTATAAATTCAGTGCAGTGTCAATCAGAATCCCAGCTGGGTTTGTGTCCCTGTATGTGTGTGTATGAAATTGTCAAACTGATAGAGTAAAATTTACATTGAAATGCAAATGGAGGCCATAAAGCATACAGAAATGTCATGGGTCCCCCAAGTTCATATCCTAACTGTAATACCTACTAACTATATCAATTGAACAAGTTGTTTATCTTTCTAAGTCTTGGTTTTGAGTTTCTTATTATTTCTTAAAATCTACTCTAAGAATCATGAGGATGGAAAGAGGTAATATATGTAAAACACAGGGCAT